ATTTGATGCTATCACCTAAAGTAATCGGCTGATTCTTGACTGAAACTAATGTGTTTAATTTAGCAGTTACAAGCAGTCGTCACAAATCTATGTCAGGAAACATAATCTTGAATTCTGAGATTGACTATTATACATGTCTCTAAATCATAAAAATATTATGAATATCAAAGGAATTTGAAGTCACTACTCTTAGGAATGTTTGTATCATTGTTGCGATAAGTATAGTAGTTGCATCGGACTGTCACTCATTGTTGTTCCTGGTAAGCATCGGACCAGTCAATTGTAAATGCCTAAGTGCAAGTGGGGTCTGATGGAGAATAGTGCTCGTAGCCATATAAACCCAATAATATTACTATAAAAACAGTGTCCTTTTAGGTTCACACAATAAAAAAATAAAGTAGAACTTAAAAGATATTACTTGAGGGACTTGTTTTGTTAATTAATAAATAGTAAATAAAGGAATATGGAATATTCTAGAATGATTTGAATAGCATAGATAATTATTATTAAATTTGATAATTATTTCTAGGGTTTCAAATCATTCCCCTATAAATAAAGGGGTCAAATCCCAATTTTTGGATGGATGAAAACTTAGCCTTCTTATTCCATAAGTCGGAAACCTTAAGAAAACCTAAAGACTTGATGTCACATCGCGACAATGAACATCATCATAGATTTGAGCTTGCATTGTGTTGGTTCATGGTGCTTTGCTCAGATCTGGTAGACTTTTATGCCTTGGGTGCGATTACATTAGAGGAACTCTCCTTTGGGTTCTCTAGTTCAATCAACTGGCTTGTCTTAAGAAGAAACCTACATGAAATCTAAGGTATGTTTTCTATCTATTAAGTTCTAATAAGTTGCATAGATTATTTGAGTTTAGATCCATATGTTTCGAGTGTTATATCAAATTGTTTGTTGTTTCTGCCACCATTTTATTTGTTCTAATAAGGCTTAAAACCCATCATATACTAGATGAAGATAGAGTATAGATGTATGGTTATATGCTAATGGTATTATATTTAATACATGTATGCTAGTAGATGAAGATTTAGATATGTACTTAATGAGTTAAGTACTAGATTGGTGGTAGAAGATCTCTTAATGAGATAATGAGATAGAATGTTATGTGACATGTGATGTGTAAGACTATGTTGAGACTATAACATTCACATAAAAGATTGTGAGAATGTAGAAAGATGATTCCTTTGGTAATACGATTACGATTCCTTTGGGAATGAGGTTATGATTCTTACAGGAATGAGATAATGTTTCCTTTGGGAATGGAGATAGATGCTTCCTTTAGGAATAAGATGATGGTTCCTTCGGGAATGTAGATAAATGATTCTTGCGGGAATAAGATTATATGTGGTTATAAAATATTGAGAAGGGTTCCATGACTGGAACAAGGTAAAGCTTCCTTAAAGAAATATGATATAAACCATGATGGATTAAGTGTAGATAATACATAATGGATCATTATAATACATGAGGGATTCAAGAAAAGATAAGTGGTTAGAGGATCCATGTGGGATCATAGCGAGGGGACTTAGTCCGGAAGGTTTTACTTCGGTAAGTTAGAATTATGGTATTCCCCTATATGATAAGTGAAGCTATCATAGGTGATTAGACCTGTTAGGTCTAAATAAGAATAAAAAGGAAAGGCATGAAAAGATGAGAATAGAAGTAGACGTTGAGAAAAGATGTGAGCAAAAATAAGATGAGATGAAGAGAGGGGAGGAAGTATGCCATAGAATGAGATAGAGAGTACGAGGTACGAGAGAGAGAGAGAGAGAGAGAGAGAGAGAAAAAGAAAGGGAGAGAAAGAAAGAGAGAGAGAGAGAGAGTGAGAGAGAGAGAGAGGTATAGAAAGAGGTTTAAAAAGATTAGAACAAGAGAAAATAGAAGGGGGTGAGAAGAAAGGATAAGATGAACATATAAGTAACTAAGATAGAATATGAATAGAGCATGAAGTGAGCATATGAAGATAGAGTATGAGATGAGTATGAAAGTATATGAGAATGCATGGGGTGAGATAGAGTAAGAGAAATGAAAGAAAGAGAAAGAGTAGTACAATATAAATACATGAGATTAGATTAAAATATAACTCACCAAACTTGTGGCCTGATGTTGTAGATTTTTTCATGTGTTGCAAGTTCAACTAGTAACCATTCTATGAGAGGAGGTAGGAGCACCAGGATTTGGATTAGAAGTAGTTTTTATATTCAATATACGATGTTGCTTTAAATGATGATTATGGATTTATTGGAAACCCGAATGTAGCCTGGGATGTAGAATGTTTTTGAGCTTAGAATTTCATATTTGTTAGAAAACTCTGATAAATCCCTAAATATTTAGATTGAAAAATTCATGTCGTTACAATTTGCTCATCTAATACTTAGTCCCAACAAATTTGACCAAAAGTCCAACTTGGTCAGAAAGTCAACAATCCACGTCATCTCACTACGACCAACACATGATCGCGGCTCTACTTACTAGGCGTTAAAATAGTCGCGATCTACTCGAAAGTCATGGTGCTACAAGGACTCAACACACTATGCGAACTTCACATATATGCCAATTTTCATCCATGTCTTAATCCGTTAAGACATAAGATCTAAACCTCCATAACTCATAAAAATGTAGTCTTAATGGATAGCGTTTCCAACTTTATCCATTTGCATGTCCTTAACATCATAAATCCAAGTCTATGTCAAAATGGGACCAAAAATCTCTTAAACTCCTGTATAGACCAAATGGCAAGATGAACTTCTCATCATCTTATCACAATGGGTCCCGAAGAAACAAAAACACAACCTTTAAGGTTGGAATTCTTCAAACTTCAACCAAACATTAACTAAAGGACCAAAATATAAATACAATCATAGATCTAAGCTTAATAACACATAAAGCTTCAACCTCAAAGACTTATAATGGTCCAGAAGGTGATCAAAAGGTTAATCTAACATGTTTCTTTCTTCCATGCTTCACCAAATACACACTATTCTCCTTAAAGGTGCATAAACAAGCATGATAAGCTCAAATATCAAAGAGGGGGGGCTAGGGTTTGATGTAAGTGCTTTGAGTGTGATAGATACTGAGGGTGGAGCAAATCCTAGGCATCACATCCTTTAAATAGGGATCAAAGTCCGAGATCTAGGGTTTTGGGCCCTAACAACTACATGTCGCTAAACCTAGCCTTCACGACGCTACAGATAGCACGCCCATCGTGACGCAAGTCAAGTCTAATCTCAGTGTGATTTTCATAATTTTCCAAAACTCAAATTACCTTACACAATTCTTCAATTTAATATTTCACACCTGAAAAGTAGGTGTTACACTTCCTACTTATTAGATTAAGACAAATATCAAAATCAAGAGAAAAAATTAAGAAAAAAAAAATTAATAGATTCCACGTATTATTAGTTAATATGAATAGACAGATAGATAGAAACAAAATTTATGAAGATATTTAGTTTTCTCTTCCTACGTCTCAAAATACGAAATGTGCTATTATAATTTTATTTTTCTCATAACATTTTTTATCTTTCTTAAAAATAATAAAAACGTAAAATATAAAATTAACCACATCCGTTTATATCCTAAGATCATGAGATATGCCGACCATTTGACCATAAAAAAAATACTCATCACCACTATCACATCACTTTTTGCACTTGATATACCCACCACACCACACCAACAAAATAATGTATTTTTTTTAATTAAGTAATTTATATTTTTTTTATTAACTAAAGCAAATAAAAACACTAGATTTTCATTAAACTAAATATTATATAGCTCAAAATATAACTAAAAAAAAGGGAAATTTAAACATAGAAAAGAAAAGTTACACTAATTTAAATAATAAGAAATTTACTTAGTATATAATTTAATTTTCATCTTTAAAATCATTTTCAAGAATTGTGCATCTCATTCCAAGCATTAACGTTTAGGGTTAAGTTGGGATTTTTTGTATTGTTTCAGCGCCTCATCGATTACCTCGAAGTCGTTACTCTTATCTAAATGTGTTTATCTAAATGTGTTTTGAGTTTTGTGTAAATATGGTTGAACTTGATTTTTTTAACATCATGTGAAAGTCATTTTTAGTAGATTATTTTTTTATCAAAGGATTTTTTGATACAAAGAAGATGTTTGGGATTGCTTTTAAAATAACTTTTTGAGTTTAGCTTTTTCAAAAAGTTAAAAAATTCAAAAGATGTTTGGGAATTAGAAAATAAATTTTCGCCAAGAATAACAAAAATGATATTTCAAAAGTCATGAAATTGTATTTTTTGTGATTTTTGACTTTTTAAAAGGTAAAGACATTCAAAAGTCAAGAAATATCATCCAAACATTTTAAAAAATAAACTTTTAACTTTTACTTCTTAAAAGAACTTTTTTTTTGAAACGGCAAACGAATTAAGTGGAAGCCTACTCGCAATATTTCAACAAGCACCCCGAATTCGAGCTCTATTACTGGGCAAACACAGCCCCCATAGGGATTTCCGGGGGGAAATTCCCCACATGTGACACTACAAGAAATGGTTTAAGGGAATCGAACTCCCAACCTCACGTCCCACATGGGTATAAAACTCAGTGCATCAACCCAGCTAGCTAGGCTTTTTAAGAAAATAACTAGAGATGAGCATCGGAACCGGCTCGCCCCGAACCGAAACCGACCCAGGAAAAGAACTAGGGATGAGCATCGGAATCGGCCCAACCCGAACCGGAACTAGCCCAGGAACCAAATTTGGTGGAAAATAGAAAACGAATCGGACTGCCGGTCTACCGGTTCCGATTCTTATCGTGTCTTCAGTGTTGGTACCGGTCTTCGAGAAATAGCAACATATGGTTCTAGTTTTTGTCGGTTCCCGGTTTCAAAAATCCACAAGAATGTCATCCCGATCCCACCCCATCGGTTCCGATTCTCGAACTTTTGAGTTTACAAATGAATCTCAAACACCCCGTGATTCTTTTTCTTTCCAATTGTTGGAGAGGTGTTGCTGTGGACGGCCGTGATGGCCTTGCCACCCGGCCACAGTACCCTTAATAATTACGACCATTCGGCTGTAACTGCCAGTGCCATCCGTCGTGTAAAAGTAAAAACTCCTCGTTTTGTTTCTCCCTATCTTAAATGGGAATACCGAAACCGACCTACCTCTGAATCAACAAGAACCCAATTGCATGGCTCCACCCGGAATCAAAAGGCCGTATGTGACTACAACATTCCGACATGTGTCTTTTCCGCTAACTCCATATCAAGAAAAAGTGAAAAATCCAATTTCACCTCTCCTTTACAGAACCTCATTATAAAACCCTCCACACCCTGTCTTTGGATTCTCCATCTTGCCTTCACACAACTTTTATCTTTACATACACACAAGATTCGGTAATCTTTAACTTTAAGCGTAATACTTAAGCAAAGCATCGATCCATGCCTGTAGAATCCGCGTTTAAAGGTACTATAAACGGCTGTTAATCTTAATTTCTCTTTTATTTTTATTTTTTGTGTTTCTAGTTCAATTGGAGTTTAGCAGTTGAATTGTGGTCCAAAAATGAATGCAGCAATCGAGAGCGACGAGAATGTGTTGCAAAAGCACGTTGCTTTCTTTGATCGTAACAACGACGGTGTGATTTACCCCTGGGAAACTTTTCAAGGTCGGTTCATTCGATTTACTTCGAAATCTCTTTCCCATGTATTTTGATTTCTGTAATGATTCCGAAGTGTACATAAACTATCAATCAGCAATTCCTGTGTTAATTTGAGAAATGTGTTTTTTATTTTTTCAATTTCATGTGATTAGGGTTTCGAGCAATTGGGAGTGGAATTCTGCTATCCTCAGTCGCTGCTCTCTTCATTAATATGGGTCTCAGTGGAAAAACTCGCCCTGTATGTATCTTATCTTATCTTTCTTCCTTTCTTTTTCAACTCGTTGCATGATTATGAGCTTATTATGAATGAATTTTCAATTAACCAATATTATATTGCCGTATTGGGATCACAAATCTAGGTTTTTTTATTTGGTTGAAACAGGGGAAGAAGTTCCCCAATTTACTCTTCCCGATTGAGATCCAAAACATCAATATGGCAAAACATGGCAGTGATTCTGGCGTCTACGACACTCATGGAAGGTATATGTCATTTTACGTAGTTTTCATACCACAAAATGCTTCTTCTTTCACCCTTCAATGGCAGATTACCGTCAATTCTATGTCAGCCGTTGGATTATTCAAACAAATTTAACCCACATATTTTTGTTTTACGTATGTGTGAATCGAATCTAAGGATACACTTATCCCACGTGTTTTTAAGGTTTGTTCCTTCAAAGTTTGAGGAGATATTCGAGAAGTATGCACGAACGAATTCAGATGGGTTGACAGCAGATGAACTCAACGAATTCATCAAAGGAAATAGGGAACCAAAAGACTATGGAGGATGGTGATTAACAACTCATACTCAAATCTTACATGTTGCATCATTTTTTTATTTTTTTTAAACAAAATGTTATTCAAATTTGCAGGATTGGAGGGTTTACAGAATGGAAGATCTTGTATTATCTGGGTAAGGATGAGAAGGGATTATTGAAGAAAGATGTGGTTAGAGGTGTTTATGATGGAAGCTTGTTCCATAAAATGGTGGAAGAAAAGGAAAAGGCTAAAGCGTCCAAGAAGAAACACATGTAAAACTCTTTACTGTTTTATAAAGATTATGTTGAAGATGATGAAGGATTATTTAGGGTTTTTTGTTTTTGTTTTTTCGTTTTGCAGTGATAAGTAAAGTGAAGGGTGAAGTTGGTGTGTGAATTTTATGTGTGGGAAGAACATTGAATTGTGTAAGTAATAATTTTATTTGAATTTTCTTTATCTTCTAGACCTTGTAAACATTAAATATAGATTGAAAGAGCTTGATCTTAAAATTATAGTGTTGTGTCGTGTATTAAAACGAGTTGAAATCTTTTACCCAAACCTGTTTTTGAGTGGCGGGTTTATGTCAGATTTGTGTGTCGTGTCGGTTTCTGTATGTTATAATTTTTTTATTTGTTTTTAGTTGGATCTATATCGTAGTTTTCTCTAATGATATGGTTGAAACTTTGACAATCATTTTTTATATTGATAAATATAAATTGTTACAGTTGAAATATTATGTTTGTGTTTTGTAAGAAAAAGATTTTGCCTATTAGCATGTCTAAGATTTTACTATTTGAGGACTCCATCGAGGATTTATGAAAAGTGTTTTATGATTTGAGGAAGTCTTTCTAAGATTCTCATTGAAGTGGAGAAAAAGGCCTTTATAAAGGTTTCTTTTTAAACAATTGTCTTCGGATATAATCGGCTTAAAATAACTAGCCCTCAACTATTAATCTAAAAAAAATACCCTTAAGCCACCCTAGTAAATAACTACATATATAAATTATATAACTTTATTATGAGGGCAAAAGAGGTATTTTATAATGATTTTTTATTATATATTTTATATATTTTTATTTAAAAATAAAAATTTATAATAACAATAAGGGCCTAACTCGTCTTAGGTTTTTAAAGATATTTAATTCTTGAGAAAGGACATGTAACTTATTAAATCACCACGAGACAAATTAAATCGAGGGTTGTTGCACCTTCAGTGAATAATTAAATATATAAATTATATAAGTTTGTTATTAAATCACCATGAGAGACTAAAACCAAATAAAGGGTTGTTGCGGGAGTCATAATATAAAATACTGAAATATAAAATTAATCCATACCAGTAGGTTGTGGGGTGAATCATTCCTCACGGTGGAGCGATTTTATGATTTTATCCGTTCATTCCTCCTAACCTCCATCTACTGTCAGTGTAACATCACTTTTTCTAAATTTCTTTTTATTTTTCTATCTTTCTCATTAATTAAACTAAAAATTTTAAAACAGAATAAAACATAATATTTTTCAATTGAAAAAAATTAATAAAAATAAAAAAATACATGATAATTATAAAAAAACAATACATAATTAAAAAATCCTAGATTTCTAAAATAAAATCCTAAACTTTCAATCATATTTTTTTTATAATTTTCTTTCATTATGCCTAGAATACTTGACGAATTTAGAACATAAATCAATGTGGTTCACTATTAAGTGAAATTGATAGAAATGAAAGAGTACAAAAAAAATATATTAGTAAGGTCAGATTATAATATTGTATAAGTAAAAAGAAAAATCTAAAGTTCTTACATTTGTAACATATCAAGTATTATATCTTAAAATATGCTCATAACTTTATCAGAGGTTGCTGGGGAGTGAGAAGAACTTTCGGAGAAGGCCAAAGGCTGCTGACGGTGTCAAAGGTTGTAGTCGGCATGAATGGTGATTGTCTGATCGTCAATTACCCGATCAACCTTGTGCCCTTGCGTGTGTGTTCGTGAAACGTTAACGTGAAGGAGGAACGAAACGGTACCATCAATCCCAATTCTCACGTTTAATTGTTTTTTAGTTTTTTTTTTCGTTATCTGATTTTAAATTGTATTGGACTATTTTGTAATATGTAATATTATAAATGGAATGAGTATTTGTGCTACTAAAATATAAGATTAGAAACCTTGATTTGCTTATTTTTTCGAAATACAATAAGGCAGGTCACTCCATATATTTAAGGTATTTCCAAAAATCATTTTTATATATTTAATATAAAAAAAATTTAAAACTTAGGTACATCAAGTGACCAACATAAGCCCTTCACGGACTGTCGTTGCAGTCAAATGGTTAAGTGGATTGAGAAAAATAATATATATCATGGTCATGTATCTCCTGCTTTACAGTAGAACATTTTTGTTCTCTGGTTTCTCATATAATATACAAATTTTCATCTAGGTATTGTTTGCTTTCTTCCTTCTCTCATCTGTTTACCATGTGTGTAACACTCAATTCCATGTATGAATTTAATTCCAAATTGTACATAATTCCTTTTGGTCACAGCGTGGTGAACCCTTTAGGCCACGAAGTTTAATGGACCACCACGACATGGTGGTGTTGATCCACGGCGTGGTGGGGGCTAGTGGAGAAAACCCTAATTTTTAGGGTGTTACAACCTATATGATAATATGATCTCCTTAAGTCTCAAGAATTGGCCTCTGGATCAGCCTCCATTCCCCCAAATCGTTCCCTGCAACCCTAATCATCTTTCCCCCATTTTTGAGCTAGTTTTGTGCCTTTTGAAGCTAAAGAAGGAAGAAGGTTGAGGAATGAAGCAAAGATCAAGCAAACAAGCCCTCATTCTTCAGTTTGGCACTCTTCTGGACCTTTGTAGGTGTCCAAGACTCGATTTTTATCATTTCAAGTTGTTAGATCTTTAGTTTTGTCCCTTTAGGTTTTTGTTCTTGAATGTTAGAATGGTTAGACCTCATAAAGTTTACAACTTTATGAATCTCAATGTTAATATGACCTAGTAGTGTCTTGGATCTGGACTATAATCAATTTTTGATGTCATGTATAAACATTAGGTCATATATCCTCATTTTGACCTAATATGGGTTAAAGACACGCATTGGGCATGTATATCTATAAAGCACCAACCATTAGGAAGGTTTATATGTTAAAATCACTTCTGGAAAGGATGGAATTTGGGCTTTAAGGTTTAAGTGCTTATTGGTTAAGCCCTTGTATTATTAAGTTTTATGGATTGGGTTTTGGACCTTTTTGGGTAGTCCCAATGGATAAAATTGGAAACTTTATCCTTCTAGATTATATTTTGGGCTAAATCTGAGCTTTAGAGCTCTTGGAATCGAAGAAAATGGCTAAATGTATTAAGTTGTTGACTTTTGACTTTTCAATTTGTACAAGTTTGACCTAAGGGGTATTTGAGGTATTTGGAGTTGTATCTAAAGATTGGTCACTATTTGATGAATAGGTGGCGGGTTGTAACATCCCAACTCCCAGAAGCTTCGAAAGTGGTTCTTTTGAAGAAGGCTTGAAGCCTAAGGAGCTTGGAGCAAAGAGAAGCTTGTGGATCTGACTCTACTTCATCTTGGCATCATCTTGAAGGTAACAAGCCGTTATCTTGACTTCTCCCTAGCTAAATCTCATCATGCATAGGTTTAGGGCCATTTTTAGCATATTTGTGAACCATTTAGGGTATTGGTCATGATCTGAAGTGTTGGGTTTTGAGCAATTTAACACTTCCTAAGTGTGCATGCAACCCTAATAAACCTTGGATCTATGTTTGTCTAAATACATGCAAAATAATAATTTTCCAAGGTTTATAACCTATCTAACATGGCATGGGGAACATTTCAACATAAAAGAGTTAGAAGAGATTACATACCTTTTGGTGAGTTTGGTTCTAAGGAGTTTGAGGGCCAAGCACCAATAGTGTGAATGCCTCAAATGGAATCACAAACACCACAAACTCTTGGAAAACTTTGAGAGAGTATACACCTTGTATAAAATCGGCCACACACATGCACACACACACTAGTTCACTAGTTTTCTCTTAGGCTCCATTTCATGCTCCATAAGCATGCTTATATAGTGTGCATGGTTAGAGTGAAACCCTAATAACCCATGTCTTTTCCTTTCCAAGGATCCATGGGTTAAAAGCTCCATGGATCATCCATGGACTTCCACATAAGCCTAGCCCATTAACAAATGAGTATTAGCCCACACTATATAAAACAAATAGCCCATAATCTAATTAGTCTTCCTTTTAATCTCCAAATTAATTCATAATTAATTTAAGACTAAAACTAATTAAATAACGTAACTTCATATTAATATATTATAACTCATAATATATTAATAAACATATGTGTATAACTCTCATAAAATTATCCATAATAGTTTGGATGAGATGCAACCCAAATGGACCATGTCGGTCGGGTCAAGTATATACCAAATAAGTTATGGACTTAGACACCTTATCCAACATGAAGTTGTAACTTTAGGTTTAGGGCCATTTTTAGCATATTTGTGAACCATTTCGGGTATTGGTCATGATCTGAAGTTGTAACTTCAGATTTGAACTCCTCTAAGTCCCTATAGCCATAAATTTATCAGATTTAGCAAGCTTGGGCCTTTCTCTTTGGGTTAAACCCAGTGGTGGACCTTAGTGGAGCCTGGTGGGTACCGGGCCACTACTCCGATTCTGGCATGTAGTGTAAAAAAAGTATATGTTTTTTATGTTTTTTCTATTAGGTGCACCATCTTAAAATACGAGTGCCACTACTAATTTATATTTTTTTAGAAAAAAAAAATTAGTGTCACCCCTTCTAAAATGTTCTACGTCCGCCACTAGTTAAACCTTTCCCTTAACTTGGTTTTGGCATCTAGGACCATGCAACTTTACGTGGAAACCATACCCTAGGAGGTTAGATCTACATTTTGGAGCATTGGGGTAGCTTAAAAACGTATGAATGAAAAATGGATTGAAGGGACTCGACTAGTTGTATGGTCAACTCGACGAGTCGGATGAATATTTATCGTTGTGGGTTTCTGCATCGACTTGGTGAGTCAATAAGACGAATCGACGAGTCAGTTAGGGTTTTCCCGACTTTTGGACACGCATGGACTCGACAAGTTGTTTGGAAACTAGGTGAGTCAACTAGGGGTTTCACGATTTCTCGAGTTCTGGAAGGACTCGACGAGTCAGTAAGCTGCACTCGACGAGTTGGGTCAACAAGGACTATTGACCTTGACCGTTGACTTTGAATTTGACCAAGGGTTGACTAGTTTGACTTCTATGTGTATTTTAGTAAATTGGGAATTTATGGAAGTGGTCCTATGGTGAATATAGATGGTGGAGTTCATGGCTGTGATTCGAGAGTTTGATCTTATCACTACAGTTCGACCTTTGTGAGGTGAGTCTTCCTCACTATACTCAAGGATCGAAGGCACCATAGTCAGCCCTTTGGATTGTTATCCTGATATGTTATATGCTCGAGTATTGTATTATATGTTAGATCGGTATCCTGGTAGGTAGGATGTTATTATGCTATTATAATTTGTTAGATCAGTATCCTGGTAGATAGGATGTTATTATGTTGTTATGATCTGTTAGATCGGTTTGTCTGTCTATAAACTGTTATGTGATTATCTGATTTGTGTGCACATGTTTGATTAGTGGTTGAGGCTTATCTGCTTCGTGCGAGAGCCAATAGACCAGGGAATTCCAACCCGATGGTTATCGGCCATGAGTATTCCATCTCAAGGATGATTTGACTCATAGTATGTGGGCATTCCAACTCAATGTTGTTGGCCGAGGATATTCCATCTATAGTATGACTGGACCCATAGTATGTTGGCATTCCAACACGATGGTTGAGGGCCTGGGGTATTCCAACCCGATAGTTGATTGGACCCATAGTATGTTGGCAACGCATTTCGATGGTTGAGGGCCTGGGGTATTCCAACCCGATGGTTGATTGAACCCATAGTATTTTGTTTGTGATTATATGTATATTGTTATTTGTGGGTATTTTAGGGGAACTCACTAAGCTTCGGGATTACAATTTTGGATTTTGTTTCAAGTACTTCAGATTACCGCGGGAAGGCGAAGGCATGATCGTGCACCTCCTCGCATTTTTATGATTTGGATTTCTAGGATACTCTGATGTTTAAACTATTTTGAAAACACTTTGTAATAATTTAATGCTTTTGAATGGTTGAAAATTTTTAAAATTGGGTTGATTTTTATGGGTGCTACAAGTTGGTATCAGAGCCATGAGGTAGTTATCTAACGTGGAGGTTTGTCTCTTCACGTGCTCATGTCCTACTAACCAAAAGGTCAGATGTACCTTGAACCTATTGAGGTCCGGGGCAAAAGGACTGGTGGAGGTTGATGATTAGGTCTTACACTGATGATCAGAGAGTTGCAATTACTTGGGAGCAGTTCAGGGATATGTTTCGCGTTCGCTACATTCCGCGGGTCGAGCAGGAGCGGTTAGCTCAAGAGTTCTTTGATTTGAGACAGAATGGTAAGATGGTGAGGGAGATTACCCGTACATTCTCGGAGAGGGCAATGTTCTGCCTGGAGTTTGCTTTTGAGCAGGCTCAAATGACACATTATCTGAGTATGCTCAAGACTGACGTCGATCAGTTTGTTGCTACCCAACGATGTGATACTTTGTTAGAGTTACAGGAGTCCGCTAGGCGGCTGGAGCTTGAGATTGAGTTACAGCTAAGAGAGCAGAGGCAGGCCCCGACGCATTCATAGTCGGTGCCAAAGCGGTCCAAGACCACTAATACTAGTTCTGGAGCGTAGTCGGGCAACACTTGTGGGAAGTGCGGGAAGGCTCATTCGAGGGTTTGCTTATTGGGGAGCGGGTGGCACAAGTGTGGCAAGCAGGGTCATCTTGCCAGGGATTACAGGAAACACACTCTAGCTTCTAGAGTCAGACTTTGTTACCATTGTGAGCAGGTGGGCCATATGAAGGCCTATTGTCCCCTACTAGCCGCCAAGCCGACGCGGGCTCCCATGCCGGCTACACTAAGGATTACTGACGGGAGTCAGGGTAGAGCAGCACCCTCGAGAGCTCATGGACGCACCTTCCAGGTTACAGCAAAGGAGGCCAGGACAACACTAGAC